CAGAGAAACTCTTCAGCCATGTTTTGTCAGACATGCTTATTGCGCATGTGCCAGCGTTGTAAAATGGTCAAAAGCGGTCCCCCGAAACTTCCGCGGCAGAAAATTGGCCTATATATAGGTTAGACACGGAAGCGAGGTGTCTACGCTACATTGCAACCCGAGGGGCTGTGGAATGTTGGCGTCCCGAGCGCAGCGAGGGCGCTACCCACATGCCCCGAGGGTTGCAATGTTGCGTAGACAACCCGAGCTCCGCGTCTAACCGGTTTAGACCGGAGTATCTGATTGGTGTTTGCGCGTTCAAATGGGTAGCAACAAGCTAGCAACGCTGCGCTCATTCCTCATTCCTTACCTTCGGATGGAACAAGACGCCTTTTTTACGTGTGAGACTCCGAGGAGACAGCCCCCGCCCCCCGTAAAAAATCGTTTACGTCATCATAAAACGCCCTCATTGGTGGTGCGCGTTTGAAAGGGTTAGCAACGCACGGCAACGGCCCAATGTGTTTGTGTATCGCCAGAGCTGAAGAAGCCGACGCTTTTTTCGTGGAATATTGACGTGATTTCTGACTTTCGCGAGCTCCGGAGACTGTCCACAGACTTCTTGCAGGTGCACAATGCATTTTAAAAGAGCTACTTTGCCAGTCGCGCCTTCTACGCTTTCATATACCGAACGCGGAATCGGCCGGTTTGCGCAGATAATGACTTTTGAGAATAGCCATTTTGTACGGGGAGTTTGCTGTAGACCACCTGCAAACGCCATTAGACACCTGAAACGAGGTGTCTATGAAAAATAAACCCCCCGCAATTCTGTAATCTGATTGGTCAATTGCGCGTGACTGCGGTCTAATAGATAGATATGCATTTGTGTAAAACTTCTTGTGAACTTACCTGAGGGTGATAAGGTGCATGGTGAGGCGATGTTCAATACCCATCATTTCCATTAGCCTCGAGTCTAGAGCATTATTCAACTCCCTCCCTTGATCAGATGTTATCACCCTCGGCAAACCAAACATCATAAAAACCTAATTGTGAGAAAAATATAAGGAACAGTTAACAGAAATTAGCTAATTGTATACCAACCTTGAAGAGGGCAGCAGCAACACCAGAGGCATGCTTTGTTTCCATTGCATAAGCTTGCACAAACTTGCTGAAGTAGTCACTATTATTGTTAGGATGTAAGAACACCCTTGTGAAGCAGGAGTAATAGTGGCTCTAAGTTGTCCGCCTTAGAGGGACTCCACTGTAACACCAGTTTTGACATGTCATAAAAATAAATGCTGCATTATTTTAATGGCTGGTTATGCTTACCTTCTTGAGCTCTACAGTACAGTGGAGCCCCCTCTAAGGCTGACAACTTAGAGCCACAACATTTTGTCCATTATAGTGGGATGTCCTTTATGGGGGGGTTTTGCCTGATTATACGGTATTACGTCACAAACTCACTGTTATAACATCCTTAAAAGCACTCTAGACAAGATTACAACATGATATGATGATGATGATGACAATAGTCAAAGTGGGCTGAACCGTGGATGTCAATGTAGATTCAGTTGTTGATTTTGTTGTTTACATGTACATTTGGTTATGTTTTCCTGTTAACTGTAGGTTTTGTAGTTTCTGTAAGTAAACCCCGTCGAGGTTTACTACGGGATTTAGTAAACCTCGCCTTTGCAATCTGATTGGTCAATTTGAACCTAGCTCACTCTAAATACACTGATATAGATTATAAAGATGGTACTGATCCTCCACATGCTGCTCTTGATATGGGTCCTGCAATTGATCATCCTCCTCCTGCTACTCATGATACAGATACTTATCCTACAGACACTGCTCAAGAACCAACACAGGGGGCACCGTGCTAAATATCCTACAGATGCTGAAAAAGGTCCTAGAAAAGCAGATAAAGTGACTATAAAGGATCCTTGAGAAGCAGTTAAAGATCCTACAGTCGCTATCAAGGTTCCTCGAGAAGAAGTTAAAGATCCTACAGTCACTATAAAGGATCGTCGAGAATCAGTTAAAGATCCTACAGTCACTATATATAAAGGATCCTCGAGAAGAAGTTAAAGATCCTACAGTCACTATAAAGGATCGTCGAGAATCAGTTAAAGATCCTACAGTGACTATATATAAAGGATCCTCGAGAAGAAGTTAAAGATCCTACAGTTACTATAAAGGTTCCTCGAGAAGAAGTTAAAGATTCTACAGTCACTATAAAGGATCCTCGAGAAAGATGCAACTCAAGGTCTTTAAAGATCATCTAGATGTGGCTCAAGATTCTAATAACACTGCTGCTGATAACGATTCTGCGGGAACTCCTCAAGATCCCAAAGAACTGGTTACAAGCCAGGCTAAAGGTCCCACAGGTGCAGCTAAATACCTTACAGACATGGCAAAAGATCACACAGATGCACCTAAAGATCCAACAGATGCAGCTAAAGATCCAGCGAATGTGGTGCAAGATCCTACAGAATATCCTACAGACGTGACTCAAGATAATCGCAATTATGATGGTAAACTGGTGAGTTAATTCATTTTAGGAAATTTTGTGGCGTTTATATTGGTGAAACATAATGATATTGGTGAAAGGGATACATTATTGGATAGGGTAAATTGTAATGGTAATGTAGTCAGTGATAATGGAACTAAGGCAGTTCAGTTTCTCACTTATTCACTTCTTTTATAATGTCTTCGTCCTTCAGCATGGTCATGGACTTCAAAAAGTTCCTGTTTCTGTTAGTCCCTCAACTGACACGTCATCATCACGAGCAATCAGATCAACGGTCTCCCCGTAGGCGAATGCGAACACCATTCTCTGCTCTCCATCCTCGTCATACAGGAGCATGAGTTTGGCTGTGGTGTGTTGTGGGCAAAGATCGAACCTTTGCATAGTCATGCAGCCATCTTTGAACATTGCCGAGACAACTCTAGCCTTGCACTGCAGGCACGATTTCTACATGTCGAAGTAAGGGACACTTGCAACTGTGACGTTGTTGATCACCCACAGCTCGTCATCTCTGTCTCCTTGCTCAATCACAGCTCCTATATCCTCAATTCGGATGATTTCCGAGCCTTCCTTGGCCATTGTGAGGTATTTTGTGCTCTGATACTCTCTGACCATGAAATTCTTCAGGCAGTAATATCGATCATTTTCCATCGCATTCGTGTTCCCCTCCCAGACACAAACTCGAGCCGTACCACTTCCGTCTGCAACATCATTCGGTTTAACTTCGTCCTTTAGTTCCACGACCTTGATGTTCACTGTGACCTTCTGGAACACATCCAAGCTCGAGTGACCAAAGTATTACGGTTTTTGATGCTGTTGTGATGTCGGCCATCAACGATGCGACATCCAACTTCTTGGGAGATTGTTTGATTAGTGTAGTAGAACACCCCTAATCAGGACACGTGCTGATTGACAGTCC